CAGTAAAGGGGCAAGTTTTCTCCCAAATTTTAGTCACCCCACCACCCTGGGGCCTGTCCTCAAGCTAAAAGCTGTAAGAACAGGAAACTTACCTAGTGCCATATCATTTCCATCTGCCGAGTGCCAGACTTTTACCTCAAGTATTTACCTTCTTTTGCTCCCTCCCTAGTGCCTTCAGGTATGCTTTTTTAAAACTTATTTTGTCCAGAGTTCATAGTTGTTATTTGTCTATGTTTTGGGGTTAGGGAGGGTGGCAAAGAGGTCCAAATGGAACCTTAAGGCCTCTCTTTTTAAAATATCAAATCCTGTGCACAAGTTTCATGCTAAAATTCAAGACAGACAACATCAAAAATGTTTTAGCACCGTGATATCACAAAATCATGATTCGCTGTTGACCTCTCCCTTCTGCCTATTTTGCTCAAGTTGTCTTTTTGTCTTTTTCCACCTAAATCTCTCCTTATTTCAATTGTTATTCAAGACTTATTTCCTGAGTGCTTACTAAATGAATGCAAGACACAGTGCTGGATGCTCCATTGAAATCTTGTTCATTTGAAATCTAAATCAAATGTAAACTCTTCCAGGATCACACCTTCTCTTTTAATGGGTGGATGTGCTTTATCGTGCTTCTGAATGCCTTTGATACTCTCTTCCTCCCTTATGACATTTTGTTTATTGATATACTTCCTTCTTGCCACCCCCACCACCAGTCTTCCTCCCCCATTAGATTATAAACTTCACCATGGCAAGGATAAGTCTCACTCATGTTTGCATCCATGCATGCTGCCTTAAACATGCATTTTTAAGTAGAGAACTGAAAAGGTACATGAAAGTCTTTGCAGCTGGAGAGAAAGGGGGAAAATGTAGAACATTAGCTTCCTGTCTCTGTTCTCAGTAGTAGAGTGGGACATCAGGAAATAAAGCTTTCCCTGTTTCAAGAGAACCTCTTAATAGAGATAGCTCTATTCCTACTTCTCCCCTTCTTCTTTCTTTGTCTTACTATTTAATTGCGGTCTAACTGACTCTTCAGCTTTCTTGTGTGCCTAGTCTCATCTTTTAAATAGGACAATGTATATGTTGGTATGAAACACTTTTTGCTTTAAGTTGTAGTAAGTGTAGTAAGGGAGACTTTCTTTCATCTTTGAAAACTCAGTGCCAAACAGACGAGTCATGTTCCATACTGGGTAGGGGTATAGCCCAATTATTCGATTCTTTCTTAATTTATGAAATGTTATAATGAAATTTCATAGATTGAACTAACAGTAACAAAGAATTTCTACAACTATTTTTTCTCTTAAGTGATAGTAATGAACATACTATAAAATGGTAACTGTAGAATAAAGGTTAAGTGAATTAAACTAGTTTTTCTAATCTTACTTTATCCTTAGATTCGGGTCAGAAGACATCTAAAAAGAGAAGATCTATCATAAACTGGGCCTTTTGTCAGGGTTCTTGCACTCATCAAGATAACTCGCCTCTGTCACCAACATCTCCTATGCCAGGACAGCTCATTGTAGTGTCCTTGCAAAGCCTTTGTGAGAATGACAATCTGCCCAAACCTGTTTCAGTAAGTCTCATTCTGACCTGTAACACCAATGGGAAAGGATGACTAGGAAAGGAGAGACGTCTGCCCCCAAATGGAAATACAGACACGCATGACTTTTGCTGAGAACCTTTATTATTACCACTTTACAGAATAATAATCTGATTAAGCTATTGCAGAATCATAAGGAAGATATAAGAAGAAGAGATTATTTAGTCTACTGGTTTCAGGAAAGAGCCACATAAGCCTGTTCAGATCATTAGAAATTTGCTTGGTAGATGAAAGGAGTCACATTATCTCTCACATTTCTCTCACTTTTCTCGCATTTCTTTCTTGAACTCTGCATTGTTTCAAAAGTCTCATGAATAACTTTAGCAGCAGAGACTCCTCAGTCTTATGCTTTTTAAAAATCTTACACGTGTTTTATTTGTATTTCAAGTGTTTACACATAAAGATACATCCTCTGGCATTTAGTTATTTTTCTTGCATAGAATGGTCAGATGAAAGACATTGAGTTTGCCTTGTCTCCAACTGATATATTAACTCATCACTGTTAAGCAATATTTTTTGAGTATCCAGTATCCTCCGAGTACTATACTAGATGTATGGCATACTATGGTATATTTGAGTCTGTAAGTGCCAGACCCTAGCCTAGCCACTTAATTGCTTACTTTACATCAAAAATGTAGAGGATAGTTATCATCATCACCATCATTTTTGCTTCATACATTTTTTAAAGCCTCAAGTTATGCAAGATCACACAGTAATTACGTGCTATAACCAGATTTTAAATTTCATGGGTTGCTTGTCTCCAACACCCGTTCTTTTCCTACACTGAAAACAGAGGACATACAGCTAGAAAGAAAACAAAACAATAGATTGAGCAGGATGGACTGGAATGGAGAAAGCTTCCTAGAAGAGATTTTTTGAGACTGATTTTAAAAGACGGAAATAAATACAGAGAGTAGAATGAAGTATGAAGATGTATTTAAAAAAGACAAGCAAGTGGAGAATGAGTTTAACAACAATATTTCCATAAAGAGTTTGCATGAGAGAATAATGGGAAGAGAGTAGAAAGATTGGAGATCAGTTCATAGAAATCTTGAAGAAGTCAAAGAAATTTGATATTAAAGTAGTAGTTGATTCATTGAAACAAGACAATCCCGTTAAAGCAAGTGTTTAAAATAAAATGGTTTAGATGTCAAATGAGAGAAAAGAAATTTAGAAATACCAAAAAAACAAATTGACTTTAATCCTTCTAGCAGTCCATCTATATCCAGTCCTTCAGTACTTTTCCCCTAGTACATCCCAGCCTCTGGCAGTCGAGAGATTGCTTATGTGCCCCAAAAAAGTGCCATTTTTTTTTCTTTGCTTCCCTATAGGATATGCTTTGCTTTCTTAATCAAAACGGACCCCTCACAAAAGGCATTTTCAGACTATCGGCCAATGTAAAATCTTGCAGAGAGCTGAAAGAGAAACTGAATTCTGGATCTGAAGTACACCTAGACTGTGAATCTGTCTTTGTGATAGCATCTGTCTTAAAGGTAGGAAAAGTTCTCCCTTCATCCACTGCATGGTATAGCTCTGGAGAAAGACAACTGGTTTCTTTCATTATGACATTATTCCCATCTGCAAAGAACCACAATAGATTTAGAATCTCAGGATGTTAAAAGCACTGCACAAATCCAACATTGGCCTTTAAAAGCCACCGCCAGTGATAAATGTGTGCCAGACATGCTTTTTGTGTTTTCTCATCCCACACCACTCTCATCGTCACTTCTACCACTCCACGCAAAAAAAAAGGAAAAAAAAATTAAGTTAAATTAAAAACAACCAAAACACATAGATCATGTTTACCAAAACAAACATCCTGATTATGATGATTTCCTCACAATCTGAGTACGTTCCTAATAAAGGCAAATTTTTCAAAAATGAACTTTATTAAACTTTGAAGAAGTGTACCATAATAAACTAACATTTTTCTAGTAACAGAAACAAAAACTTGCTCAGTGAAACCACTGAAAATTTCATTCATTTATGCAGTCCTCATGCCTCCCCTGTCCACTGATGCCTTTTGAAGTAAAAGTGGAATACGAGGGACTCCAGCGTCTGGGTCTTCTTTTATAAAACGCTTCCCGCATTTGACATTCTTTGTGGTCCTTTCCCTTCAGCTCACGGTTCCTTTAGTCACAACCAAAGTTGGGTTAGAAATCTTCTAAAATGTTTTCCTCACCACATTCTTGAAAATGCCTCCCATTTTTCGAAAACGTAGTCAAAACCTACTTTTAACAGAGCTTTTGAGCCCAGCAGTAGCTTCTGCAGACCTGGCTCAGGCTTTCAGCAGGGTGGGAATGCACCTTGCTAGGGCCTGCATGCCAGGACCTGGAGCATAAAATCCAAATGAAGGGAAATGTGGTGAAAAAGACTCTTGCATAGCCCTACTCCTGCTGGGCCGTCAGCTGATTACAGAATTTCATTTCATGACTTTGCGCATAGTCAGTGTCTCTTGAGAAATGGACCATGTCTGCTCTTCAACAACCCTTGCTGTGGGCTTTTGCAATAAAGTATCTCTAAAAAGAGCTGAAGAGCTGGAGTTAGGGTCATCTAATCTATTTTGCACAGGATGGAATTCAATCCTGGAATTTAAAAAAAAAATATGTATAGTGTGATTTGCCAGATATATGTCAGGAATATCTATATGAGATGGTTTTCTTTTTTTAAAATTATATAATGAGGCTTTCTCCTATCTCTTAATTTAGGAAGTTAAAGCCTCTGTTTTAGAAAATGTTCCTTACTCTGCTATTCTTTACAGCACCACACTTGTTAAACTTTTGTGCTAAATTGTCAAGGCTGTTACACAGAAGTAGGATTCTAGAAGAGTTAGATTGTATTTAAAATAGCATAAATATTACTCGTACAAAAATAAGCAAAAGTAAAAACTGATCCAAATGATTGAAAAGTCTAGTTAAATTGGTTCCAAATAGTTTTTAATCATGTAACTGCATTTTACTCTCATTTCATCCAATTAGTTGCAGGAAAGGAGGAACTTTTTGCAAAAAAATTTTTGAGCTTTCATTTTGTTTCTGATTTTTAAGACTTTGGAAGTGGTACTTAAGTTTTCCTTTAATTTTTTACTTATGCTGGTTTTGCATAAATATGACCTCAACTCTTCAAACTATAATTGAAAGAAAATTTCTAGAGACACTGTAATTTTGATCCATCAGACCTTTGAGAGAAAGATCATTTTTAATCCCCCAAGAATCACAAATCAGATGAACTTTGGAGTTCTGCTGATGACCTGGGCTCTGGCTTTAGAGGGAGGAGACTTTCAGTTAAGTATGTGACTTGTTGATTACAATTCAGAACCAGCGCTCCCATCCTTTCTCAGCTGTGATGGTGGTTTTGTACATTGCAACTTTTTATTCTGGCTGTGGACAGTTCATTGAGATGTTACGAGTTATCTTTCCACTGTAGGTTTAAGATTTAATGACGTTTTTCTTCATGAGAGATCATAGGTATGTTTTCCACTGAGATTTAAAAAGAAAGTTTTTGTCACTGCCCCACTTTAAAATAACAGATTTTGCCCATTCTAAATCTGACTTTTAAAGTAGGTGTAGCAACTAAAATTAGTTTGGAATTAGGAAAATTTAATAGCTTTACTCAAAAGAGTAACTTTTGTGAAGACACATCTGAATCACGAGTATCCAGGTACACTTCTACTGGAACATGTAACAGAACAAAGAAAGAGTTTGAATTAATCGTCTTTCTACTTGTTCACTGCTCTTTTAAAAACTTGTATCATGATTGGTGACATGACTACGAAGAGGTTTTCAATATTATCTTAGAATTTCTATTGTAATTAGTACAACTTCCCTTGTCCCTCATTAATATTTGTCAACGTGACAAATAACAATGGTTCAGTGGTTCAGTAACTACTGTTACTGTGTCTGGGACTGTGCTTGGCACTTGGGTGAACCAGAATAAAGTAAGGGTCTGCCCCCATGGCCTGTAGGAGCTTGTAAGCTAGTGGTGAACATACACATGTAATCAGCCTGCTGTAACAATGAGGTATCACAGTTTTCATGGTAATAATGTAAACATGACATATAAGTAATAAGTTGTATGTTGCCTTTTGTAAAAAGCACATAGGTAGAGTTGCCACTTAGGTTTTCCAGCAAGAGTTAAAATTGCTCAATTGCAAACTTTAACTTGTCTTCATGTTAAAAACAGAAACATGCAAGATGATAGCCAACCATGGGTATAGTGTTAAGACATGACATTGAATTTGCTCTGCCTAAAGTTAACTGAGGTGGAGATCAGACATTGCAAGTTTAGCCTTGTTAATCCCATGCCAAAAGCAACAGAGAGGGTTGGCTTAGAACAGAAATGGGCAAGGATGAGGACAGAATTTAGTTTATTTTTAAGCTTTTTTTTATAAACAAAGATCAAACAAAAAACACCCTTGGCTATATACTACTTGTGTCATAATCTGCTTCAATCGTACCAGCCCCACCAGTGGTCTCAGCAAAATAAGGTCAGGAAGGCCAGAAAGGACGCTGTGCTGAGGACATGTTACTTAGTGTACATCAGGCATAGGGGTGCTTTCCCAGGGTCTCAGAGCCCAGCCATTGCCTGGAAGGCTTTCTCCCACAAAATTGTAAGAACCCATCTATGGGGAATACAGGGAGGAACCTTAAGTATCTCTAGATGGAATTGTTTACCAATGCCACTGGAATATAGTGTTTGAAAATAACAAGGACTTTGTTTTATTCACTGCTCTGTCCCTAGCACCTCAAGCGATGCCTCACATATATGAGTGACTATGTATAGAATGATGGGATAACTCATCATGATATTATGAACTTCATAAATATCTTCATGCATTTCTTTGAACTAGTGATCGAGAGGAGAAAAAAAGAATTGAGGATGATTTGCTAGGCCCTGTCTCATTGTACTAGTTTGCTAAAATGTACACAGACAGGAGGTTTCAGCCCAAAAGAGTCATCCTCTATCTTTCCCACTATAGTCCAGACTCCAATTATTGCTCTGGTTTTTGTTAGAAAAAAATCAAAATGTATTCCGATGTGTGCACATCAGTGGAAAGGTGGCATAGAGATCTGTGTGTTCCAAAGAAGGGAAGATTAACTGACATTTCAACAAATTTCAACTCATTTCCTTTCATCTACTTTCTCCATTACATATTTAGCATGAGAATAATGATTTAAAATGTTTATTTTTCCTTCTATGTAAGGATTCTCTATTAAGTATTCCAGAAAGTGCTTTTTTGTT